GGGCCAGGACCATCCGAGGGAAAACCATAGAGTTTTCCCTCGGATGACCGTGGCCCCGCCACCAGCATGCCCGGCATACCCGTGTCACTTCCGGGTGACGTGCACGTGGGGGTGGAGTTCCCCCCGGGGCCCAATCCGCCGCCGGCGGGGAACGGGCCTCTGGGGGGGGGTTTCCCCACCCCCTGGGGGGGACTTGGCAAGCCTACCCTGGTCATTTAGGAGTTGCTTCATGTAGACTCTCCTTTTTTTGGCCACTGTCCAATTGCAGGTTTAGCGGAGATGGGCTGGCAGTTGCCAAAAGAGCTTCAATCAATATATATCTCATTACAATGTGCTACCATATCATCCCACAGATTACAGCTGACATTTTGTCAATTCTACATCAGATCAAACACCTATGTTGTATACAACACAATCAGTTAAATTAAAAGTACATCTACCCAGGCGAGCCCGATCTCATCAGATCTCAGAAGCTAAGCAGGGCCGACCCCGGCAGGTACTCGGATGGGAGATCTCCAAGGCATACAAGGGTCACGAGGCAGAGGCAGGCAATATCGAGCCACCTCTCTGGACATCCCTTGCCTCCGAGCCCCACTAGGGGTTGCCAAAAGTCAACCAAAAGATACCCAAAAAAGGTACATCTGTATAGAAAAAGGCTTTTCTAAAATCCTCCCTGCTTGGGCCAGATGGCCCTAGCTGGTAACACAACCGCGTGATTCCTGTCACCTGTGCAGATGGCCTGCCAGATGGCCAGGCCGCATATCCATATGGAAGACACTTTGACACCTCTGCCAGGATAGAGCGACTTGCCGGTGCCTTCCCAAGCATGGGACGAACTATGCCCAGTACATTAGCACATCAAAAGCATTCCCTGACATGACACATGGTCACTGGAAGAGGCTGGAGTGGGATGCCCAACTCTTAGCCAATCACACCATACCTTGCCTGACAACGCATGGTAACCAGAGATTGGACACACCTCCCCACTCTCACTATATTGGGTAAATGGCCATACCTGGTGGTGACGGAGGGGGGGTATAACAGCAACGATCTATATGGGAAAAGTTGTTCCTCGCTGGAAACAGAGAGTTCCTCTCTGGAAGCAAAGAGTTCTTTTGGACTGACTGTTTGCTGTTAACATGGAGTGAGACTTTTAGGCAGCCAAGCTGGACTAGCTGCCCACAGCACCATGGGGTTCCTCTTCAAGTTTCCCTGGTGAGACCTTGGACTATTTGCACACCAGCCTGGTAACTATGAACTACCTCTATTGTATAGTTAGAGCTCAACAAGCTATATATATCTTTTGTTTCTTATCTTTTGCTAGTCTCATGTTACATGCATGCTTGTGCACTGAATAAAGATAATATATAATCAATATTATCTGGACTTGTTTCCTCTGTTGCAACCTGATTTCTAAGACTGAATCTTGTGTCTAAGCCATTCGCCCAAGGAGGCTACCACTGTGTTACTTACTTGTTTGCAGCCCTGGTACAGAGCTGGTAAAGTGGGTAAGTCCCATAAAGCAAGAAGGAGTTTGGGATCTCTGCTCCTGAGCTTTGGTGACAGACTACTGGTAAAGCCTGGAGAGTGTACAGACATTCTCCTGGCGTTTGTTTAATTGTTGATGAATGCTTGGTTTCTCTCCCATCCCTGGACTGGGGTGAGAGAGAGAAACCTTGACAACATCTACCCTAGACATATCCATAGTATCACTTCTAAACAATGTCAGATGCCTCTGAAAATAAAGTAATATGTTCTCAACACAGCAGCTTCTCCCCTCTTCTATTTAGTACCTGGCCACATTCCCAGGTTTCCTGTATTCCTGTTTCCAGGGTGGTTGCAAACACCACTGCCACATGAGGTAACAGCCACATTGAATGAATTATTTAGCTTATTGCGGGCGTCTCTTCATGCATAAAGAGGTGCATTTGTCTCTAACCACAAAGGTTTGCAAGAGTTATTAATTTTACTAAGAGCGGCTAATGTTAAAAATGCAAATTCACAAAGGAGGGCCTGTTCTAGGGGCTTTCAGTGACATGCTGTTTTGCAGTCTCTTTCCAGACAAACCCTTGTCACAAGCAAAGAGGTCAGGAAAGTGAGGAGTGCTGCAGCTCATAGTCACCATTGCTTCTTGTTCACCCACCACTGTGAACGAGTGCAGCTCCCACTTGCTCAGTGGAAGCAGTCGCCGCTGCTCCTAGTAGCCACCGCGACAGAGGAATGAACGGGCACCGGGGCAAGCGGGAGCCAAGGTTGCCTTCCCAATAGACTTTACATCAGAGGAAGTCGGGATGAAAAGCCACTGCGGCAACTTGTAGTGCTGGCATACACATCAAGTAAGGCAGGAGAGCTATCCAGGCCCAACTCATCACTACCACCTGTGAACGGAAGATTTGTTTCACTTGCCGTGAATCTTCTTTCTCGGTGGACCAAGGGTGGGTCAGTCTGCACCTTTGGGAAAAGCTCCTCCCTCTGGGCTGGCAGGGTCACCAAGTCTTTGTCTGCAATCCCTTGCAGGGGAGGGGCTTCTCCCTTGCGGCTCCAGTATAGTCCTGAAGCAATGAAAGAAAGAAACTCCTCTTCCCAAAGGGTTTAAAACCCACATTCGCACCCAGTCTCCTCCAGTACCAAAAAGGAGGGCGAGGACTTCCCCCGCCTTGGTGGTAAGAGGTTCCAGCTCCTGTTCAGCGCACCAGAGGTCCTGAATGCCCCTCCCCTAAAGGGCATCTAGCAAAGAGCAGTCCTCCAGAGCCCTTTCAGGGTGTCTGACGAGGTCGGTCACTAGACATGATGAAGGAAGCAAAGGTAAACCAACACAGCCGCCTCAAGCACGCCCCCTCCGTAACAGGGCCCGCCAACGACAGTACCCTCGGGTGGGACACACTGACCCACCCCTTGACCACCGAGAAGGAAGGTTCGCGGTAAGTGAGACAAATCTTCCATTCTCCAGTGGTCCTGGGATGGGTCAGTCTGCCCCTTTGGGACCTAAGAAAGCAGTACTTCCCTGGGCGGGAGGGACGGCCAATAGACTGAGATGGCATACTGCAGCACCCTCCTCCCAAAGGCAGCCTCAGCCAAAGACCACCCATCTATCCTGTAGTGTCTGGTGAAGGAGTGCGCTGACTTCCAGGTGGCGGCCTTACAAATGACTTCCACGGATGGAAAGGACCGATAGGCCACCAAGGCTCCCGCTCCTCTGACGCCTGGGGGTGTTTCTAACCCTGCAGAGTTGTAGGCAAGGAAAATACAACCTTTAGCCCACCTGCTAATGGTGGACATTGAGACCTTGTGCCCTTAGGGATGGCCGGTTTGGTGTAGTGGTTAAGAGCGGGGACTCTAATCTGGGAATCGCAAAGACTTGGTGACCCTGCCAACCGAGAGGGAGGAGCTTTTCGCAAAGGTGTCGACTGACCCATCCCAGGACCACTGGAGAACACTCCAGCCTGATGCCAACCCCTGTTCTGTCACAGAGGCTACAATACAAAAACCATTCTGTCCTACACTTAGCTGTACTTGTCCCAATGCAATAAGTTTCAATTGCTGTGTCTAATTAAACCAAACACCATTTATTTTTAATTGGCTCCGGGGGGATATTTCCTCCTCTTCCCCCTGAGTTTCTCCCCACCATGATACTTTAGCATAAGTGCCCACCTCAGAAACTAATCCAAAATGAGTAGTCTGGGGACTGAAGGCTAAACCAGGGCAACAAGCAACAAAACATCAAGAAACAAAAATTGCCACATGTGAATACTGCACAAAATGGATCTTTGGCGACATCCAGGGCTATTTTGGGGCAGGAACGCACAGGAACGGAGTTCCGGCTGGCTTCAGAGTTGGCCACGCCCACTACAGCCAAAGCCTCTGTGTGTGTGGCTACAGAGGGAAGGCCTGGAGAGCGACCCCCCCCCGCAGTGACTCTGAGGCAGGCGGGCCAGGGGGACCCCGGAAGGATTGGGGAGGCATTTAAATGCCTCCCCGGCCTGTCCAAGGGCCAGCTTGCCCGACCCGGGCAAGCCAAGGGAAGGCAGCCTTCCCTTCCCTTCAAGGGGGGGCTTGCTTGGGCTCCCTGCAGCCATGTGGTGCCTGGGCAAGTCAAGGGAAGGAATGGGGTGTGGCCTAATATGCTAATGAGTTCCTGCTGGGCTTTTTCTACAAAAAAAGCCCTGGCGCCATCACCTAACCAGAACAACAAAAGGATATCACTGCTAGAATGATCAGATTCTAAACAAGCTAACAAAATATTATGTTGCCGTAGACAAGAGCAAGAGTCCAGTAGCACCTTAAAGACTAACAAAATATTTGGCAGGATATGAGCTTTTGTGAGTCGCTGCTCAGTTCTTCAGATAGAAATCACTTCTTCAGTGACCCACGAAAGTTCATACCCTGCCACATATTTTGCTAGACTTTAAGGTGCTACGGAACTCTTGCTCTTTTCTACCGCTACAGACAGACTAACACAGCTAATCGTCTTGAAAATATTGCTGTAAATTTACACTGGGACACTCACAAACCAAAGCAGACCCCCTAATAACTGTTAAATTAAGCTCTCCTTAATAATGTAACAAGTACAAGCCCTCTGAAAGATCTGAGACACACATTCGTGAAACTAAGCTGCTGGGGTGGGAAACCATTAGAAGCCCTATGAAAAAGCAACATATTAGCATTAAACAAATAGCAATAATATAATCACCATTTGAGCATCAAAATATATATTACTTTCCCTTTTTTAAAAAACACCAGATCACCACCTAGTTACATTAATACAAGTTGATCTTTCACATGATTTGTAAAGTGAACCAGAGCAATTACCACACTGGAACACAATGTTGGGGGAGGGACCCTAAAGGGTAAAGCATTAAGTTAAGAATCCATAATGTCCTTCCTCCACTCCCCCAAAAGAAGGGGGGGATCAGAACACCAAAAAACCCCACCCTTCCTTTCTCAGACAGTATTATATCAATCTCATTTGACAGCAAAAGTATACCAGCATCTCTACTCACCACCTGAACACTGGATCATGGTTCCTGATTTCTGGACCTCATCAAATTTTGTGAAAATTATGTTCAGCCTGATTTGAAAGGGGGGGGGGGAAAACAACAAGTTAAAAATCAGTTATTGCAACACCTTTCAATGAAAACACAGACAAGTACAGTTCTCCTCTGGCTGAAAGTCAGTGACATTTTGCCACTGATTCTACGATGTGTGTGGGGGGGTCCTTTCAAGGTCTTTTGCTAGGGAGATACGGGTGTTGAAAATCAGCAAGAAAAGAAAAGGCATAATTTGTAACGTGTGCTGAATATCAAATCTGCACACTCATCTGTAAATTACAGCAGTTTCAGTACCTTTATTGGCATACATAAAAATAGACAGCAAAGAATACAAACTGAAATGCTACCTCAGATTTGAAATGAAATAAAAGGTCACCCAGCATGAGATTTAATCTTATGCTCCCTAATCATCATAGCAATTGAAAGATATCTTGCTACAGAGCATGTAATATGGGGACGCCGGTCAGATAATAAAAAGGAAACTAGCCTCTCTTCAGGTAGTCCAGAAACATTAAAGAAGAGGGGACCAGGGGTCGTTCCGTAGAAAAAGAGCTAGGGGAACTCATTAGCATAACTCATTAGCATATGCCACACCCCCTGACATCACCGGAAGTGTGTCATAAGGCCACACACCCCACCCCCAACGGTCCCGGCTGCCAGCGGCAGCCTTCCAGCTCCCAACTTACCCTCCCTCTTCTCCTGCCTCCTCCTGGCTGAATGAGGGCCGGAAGCGGGGCGGCCGGAAGCAGGGGGCGGGGCTTCGTCATGTGCCCCGCCCCCCCGTACCTCACCCGGGGGAACTGCGATCCCCCCCCGAAATGACCTCTGGAGGGGACTAATTATGGTGTCCTACACATTTTCATAAAAATCACAGAAGGGTAAAATATGAGCTACCAGTTCATGTTTCCTTGCTCTACATGGGCAGAGTCTTTTATGATAGGGCAGTGGTGGTGAACCTATGGCACGGGTGCCAGAGGTGGCACTCAGAGCCCTCTCTGTGGGCACACGTGCCATCGCCCCAGCCAGGCCCAGACCATCATTAAAGTGTCGAATTCTCTGCCAAATAAATTTAAGTAAATGAAAGCATTTGGGATTGCTTTCCTTACTTTGTTTGGATTGTCTTAAGTTAATGTATGAGTTGTTTTTTCTAAAGTAAAACCTCAGCATTCAGGTTAAATTGCCTAAATTGCGATAAATAAGTGGGTTTTGGGTCGCAGTTTGGGCACTCGGTCTCTAAAAGGTTCGCCATCACTGTGATAGGGAATGTTTGCAAATCTCCCAGACAGGACTGCTGATGGTCATTAAACGGAGCAAGCATGAAGGTTCGACATAGTTGAGGAGGAATAATAAGTAAGCAGCAGGTGCCCGGTGATCAGGGGTGATGCCAAACACCAGAGAGGAGCATGTTTTATGTGCTAGAGAGCAGAGAGTTTGTTTTTCAATGTCTAAAAGTCTCTGTTTCATGGTTCTGTAGGCTTGGCTTTCATTTAACATAAGAAAAGAATGGAGGGGAACACCCGTAGATTGTATTTTCTGCTGGATACAGTGTGCCCACCTAGTTATAAAGGAATCGGAAAATATCAAATAGACATTAACTCATGGGTTTAGCCCTAAAAAAAACAAAATTTCAGAGTTGAGAGCCATGCCCTGGTCTCTAAAAGGTTCTGCCCAGTCTCCAAGTACATAGCTAATGCAATTAGGGACCCTTAGAAGACAGCGAAAGAACATCGGCTGCATTTGCTCAATTCGATAATTAAAGGCACTAATCCAAACAGGGATCCCATATCATATTTAGGAAACTGATTTAGCATTAAAAATGTGAATAGCAGCAGGTACAAACTGATCACCCTTCACGTGAACTTTGCAACCACAGACAAGCTACATTTGGCCAAGTTAAGTGCTTGTTTCCGCTGTGCTATCCAACTATTGTTATACTGAAAGGAAACACCCCAGGTATTTGAAAGGTTTTACTTGTTCAGTGTTGTTTCCTTTAATATGCCAATTTAAGCCTTTCCAAGAGCTTGAGAATACCATAATTTTTGATTTTGCATAATTAATGGTTAGAAAGTTTGTATCACAATAGGAAACAAAAGCAGAAAGAAGATGCTTGAGGCCCTTCTGAGAACGGATTAACACCACAGTCCTGTCATTAAAAGGACCGGCAACTACCATGTTTCCCCGAAAATAAGACACTGTCTTATATTTATTTTTTCTCAAGAAGACACACTAGAGCTTATACCACAAATGCATAGAAATCCTGCTAGGACTTATTTTTGGGGTAGGTCTTATTTTCGGGGAAACAGAGTAGTGACCAGAATTGTTAACTGCTTATGACAAGAGAGGCATTAATTAATAAAACCCAATTCCTGATACATGATTGTCTCTTCTTAAGAGCTATTGTGTTCTTGAGATGTTTTTTTCAGTGTAAAGTAACTAGATGGGATGTTGGCTGCTTTACTATTACGGTAAGAGCGATATATGGCACGTAGCTGGGACTTCAGTCTTTGACATTCATCGTCAAACCATGAATCTATATTACATCAAGCTAAAGTATGGTTAGCTATAGATTGCTGTTTAAAAGAATGGGTGATGATGGGAGTCAAGTTGCTATAAGATCGAGACGCCTCAGAAAGATTTCCGGCATTGGTTAATTGTTGACTTAGCTCATTTAGCCTTCTTGTATGAAGCAACTGATTAATACCCACTTCTACTTTTTTTGTCCATCTGATTCTTTGGGATACTGGCATATTTTTGCATAAACTAATGGGAACAGGGAATAGACAGATAGGCTTCACATTCCAGGACTATGATCAATGGAAAATGGTCACTGTCTGCACACTCTCCCACAAAAAAAAAAATCCAATATGTATCATTTCAGATTAGGAGAAACAATAACATAATCATTGACACTACTACCCTGGGTGGAACTAAATGTATATTCCTCAAGCAAGTCTTGAGGCAAAGACCCATTTATATAAAAATTAGCCAAAAGGACTCCCACAGCATTAACATGGGAGTCTATGGAGCTCCTTATAGAAAGGAGGAAATCGGGCAGGGAATTGTTAAAGTCAAGGCCCATGGCCTTGCACAGAGTATAATTATCCTTCCCGATCCTAGCATTAAAATCTCCCACGGTTATAAATACGGCAAAAGTGAATTCCCACTCAAGGTCTTCAACATATACATTGAAGCAATTCCATCGGGCTAAAAGATCAACTTTCTTTAGGAAAGGAAGTAGATATGCATTAACCACAATGAGGTTTAAAACCGGCAATTTAAGAAGAATGGCTTGGGCCAGAGAAGAGCAGGGAGTCAAAGTGACAGCCTCAGCCTTAATCTGAGTTGAAACCAAGCAACATAAAACAGCTCTACAACAGGTCTTATGCTCTGATTTAGAGACCGGAATCGAACCAGACCTGTAGCCCTCTAGCTGTACTTCATACTGGGCCCAGGTTTCTTAAAGCAAAATATAAATTATAGCAAAACACAATGGAAGTTTGGTGCATCCCTCAGTCTTAGTTTTCATTTATTAACAAGATAGATTAAGGTAAAATAAAGAGACAACACTTCCAGTTTTAATGAATTAAAAGACACAATGCAATTCTGAGGGTTTTTTTTTTTTAATTCAACCAAATTGTACAGACTGTCATAACGGACAACATACAAATGACACTCACAATTCAATTTTTTAAAAAACAGCTTGTTTGTATTCCTTTCAGGCTGTTGAACATTAATGATCAGACCTCTCCGGATACAACTGATGAAAATGCTTGGCAAATGAGAAGAAATGCATGCAATTCTGTCTAATTTTAGTTGCAGAAGCATAGAAGCAGACCCCCCCACACACACACACCCAAAAACATAAAGAGAAATCTTCACTCACCGAGACTGTGGCAATCCCTTTTTGCTGAGATCGGCCCTTACACGTTCCCCTACGTGTCTGTAGATTTCTACTAGGCTATTTATTGCTGCATCACGAACCTAATAATTGAGAGAAACAATGGGGAGAAATTAATTGTATATGTGTAATTAGAAGACTCCCTAAAAGATATCCAAGACCAAAGCCGTCAGCTGTAATAGCTGCCATTAGTCACCGTCAAAACCAAAAGTTTAAGCCACTTATATGGTACAACCAGCTGGCAGAGTTAGTCTGTTTCTTTTTTTTGGTAAACAAATTTTTATTTTCTTAGGAACATAACATATAAGATTAAATCATTCAGTCCATTGTTTACCTCATTCCCTTCCTCCCCTCCCTCCAGTGGCTTCCCGCAATGCTTCTCCCCCTTCTTACAAATTTCATTATATCATTAACACATCATTTGTTATCATCCAACCTCAAGATAACATCATTTGACTTAATATTGATCTAAACATATTAAGTTTTGTTTTACATCCCAGTTCTTTTCCAGATATATTTTAAAGTCATTCCATTCTATAAAATTCTAATCCCAATTTAACATTTTTTAAATATTTGGCATCCAGTTTTCTAATATGAGTTTCTTGCAAGCATATCAAGTTACAATTTTGTTTTTGTATCCAATAATTGATTCTTTTCCTCTTGTTAGGTGAATTTAATCCATTCACGTTCCATGACAACAATTTGTAATCCATTGTAGATTCTTAATTTAAAGTTCTCCAAAGACGTCAGAATTGTCCGCCTTAAATTTATAAAAATCCGTCACCGACCTGATCTGGACTCTCCCACCTTTGTAAGTAAAGGATAAGCCTTGTGGAATTTCCCATCTGTACCTAATATTCAAAGTCCTCAGTTTATCCACCAAAGGCTTATACCTTTTTCTGTCTTGCAGTACTGCTCGGGGGAGTTCTCTCATCACCATAATCTTGTTTCCTTCCATTTCAAAAGGGACGGTGAATTGTTTCTTAAAAATATCTTCTGTAGTTGTTCTTGTTACAAATTGTACAATAACATCTCTTGGTAAATTTTTCTTTTCTGCAATTCTGGAGTTCACTCTGTATATCAAATCAAAATCAGAGTCCATTGTCCCTTCATCTTCTTCCAAATATGATGTTATTGCCTTCATCATTTCATCTCTTATATCTTCATTTTCCTTCTCTTTAATGCCCCTGAATCTCAGATGGGTTTGCATCCTTCTGAACTCCATCATTGTTTCTGATCTTCTAAATTGCTGAGTCAAAGAATCCTGTTTTTCTTCCACTTGTTGCATCTTCTCTTCCACTTCCGTAGTTTTGGTTGCATTAGCCTGAATCTCCTTTTTGACTCCTTCTATTTCTTGCTTGATTGAAGTTATCTCAGTAGTGACCAAATCTTTAATTGCCGCTATGTTCTTCTCCTGAACCTCTTCAAGTTGTTTCAGATGAATCTGAGTCTGCTTTGCCATTTGTGCCTCCAGTTGCTTTTCAATCTGTTCCCCCATCCTTTTTTCACTTTGTTCTCCCATAGCTTGTATTGCTTCCAGCATCCTTTTCTCCATTGCCTCCATGGCAGCATACATCTCTTTCTTATCCTTCTCCCTCTCTTTTGACATCTTGGGGGTTGGTGTCAGCCTAGTTGGTGTTGAATTAGTTCTTGGTCTCACTTTTGGCTTAACGTCAGGATCAGAGTCAGCTCTTTTCGGTCCTCTTCTGGTCTCCGTTTTGGTGCTTTTCCTGCGGTGCGCAAATTCACAAACAGTCTCTTCTAAAGGGTAGCCTTCAATCAGCCATTCCCTTCTATTTTCGCTTTTAAAAACCTTCTAAAAGAAGTTTAAAGTCAAATTTAAAGTCAGGTCCTCCTCAAAATGTCGGGCGCAACTTCTCTATGGTATTCGGGTATAGAGTAGGTCAGGTTACCGTATTCCAGGTCCCGTCTGTTCGTATACACTCACTTCCGGTTCTGCTCTCTTGTAGCTCCGAGTCTCTTCCTGTTGGCTTCAGCCCTTCTTTCAGGGCTTCCTCTTCCTGTTCCAGCACCTCGGAGTATTTTTTTTGTTACACCGGCCTGCTCCTCCCGCGATACAGTTCGTCAGTTTCGGTTTTTGGTAAAAGACACAATGCAATTCTGAGGGGTTTTTTTTAATTCAACCAAATTGTACAGACTGTCATAGCAGACAACATAGAAATGACACTCACAATTCAACTTTAAAAAAAAAAAGCTTGTTTGTATTCATTTCAGGCTGTTGAACATTAATGATCAGACCTCTCCGGATACAACTGATGAAAATGCTTGGCAAATGAGAAGAAATGCATGCAATTCTGTCTAATTTTAGTTGCAGAAGCATAGAAGCAGACCCCCCACACACATACACACTCAAACACATCAAAGACATAAAGAGAAATCTTCACTCACCGAGACTGTGGCAATCCCTTTTTGCTGAGATCGGCCCTTACACGTTCCCCTACGTGTCTGTAGATTTCTACTAGGCTATTTATTGCTGCATCACGAACCTAATAATTGAGAGAAACAATGGGGAGAAATTAATTGTATATGTGTAATTAGAAGACTCCCTAAAAGATATCCAAGACCAAAGCCGTCAGCTGTAATAGCTGCCATTAGTCACCGTCAAAACAAAAAGTTTAAGCCTCATATATGGTACGACCAGCTGGCAGAGTTAGTCTGTTTCTGTTGCCATAGTCTCTACTACTCTAGTTCATAACCCCCTCCAAACTCCTCTATTCACAGTGACCTATAATGTGAAATGTTGCCAACAAAATGAGTTAAACACGTTATTTATTTGTGCAATCTGAAAGATTTGCAGTTTATTATGAGTTTAGGTAGCTCTGAAAATTTTGGCATAAGAGATATAGGAGATAAAAAAATAAGACCAAGGCCAATGGTGCAAAATCAGGTAAAAATATACTTTGTTACTCAATTAAATTTCCAAAAAATGCCTATGTGTTTCGCCAACAGACTTTGTCAGGGGGATCTGCTAGGAGTAAAACATTCCCCTGATGAAGCCTCTTGGCGAAACACGTAGGCATTTAGGTAAAAATATACTTTGTTACTCAATTAAGTTTCCAAAAAATGCCTATGTGTTTCGTTAACAGGCTTTGTCAGGGCGATCTGCTTGTCCTACAGTTAATTCTTCAAAAGGAGTAAAACATTCCCCTGATGAAGCCTCTTGGCGAAACACGTAGGCATTTTTTGGAGATTTAATTGAGTAATAAAGTATTATTTTTACCTGATTTTGCACCGCACCATCGGCCTTGGCCTTATATGTGGCTCTTCATTTTCTTGTGGCATAAGAGATATAACATATAACTAGTTTATCTGATCAGCTAGGTGCGCGGCAGATTGACATTCTGTGCAGCAACAAATTCAGTTTAAATGCATAAACTTGAGAGCAACAGTGTCATCTAAATATACACATTTTTAAAAAAATGACCAAGCAACATTTAGTCTATTATCTGATTAATTAGCTAAATGTGGAAGTCCTATTCAAGGGGCATAAACTGGAATTCCTAATAAACATGGAACACTAGTAAGGCTCTGAACAGTGAAATGCTCTAGGCACTTAGTCCAAATACATATCGTCTTGGGAATGCCCAGAACAGCCCAAGACAGCCTCGGCTGGGCAAATCCAGAAGAAGAAGATTTCTGTTTCCTGACTGAAAGTAAAATGAAATGCCGTATTGGAAAGAACAGAAAGGGACTATTGATTTGCAAGCTGTTAACCCCCTAAGGATACTGGCACATCCTGTTCCATTTTAGAATCTGAACTATAAACCCAGGTCTAACAGCATAGCTTTGTCACATCATGTCATCGTAAATATTCACAGAAGATACAAAATAAATATTCAGAAATACCCCCGTACTCCACAGGAATAATGTCCTGCCTCATCATGGATATAGCATTACTTGAAGACAGCATTACCTGCCGATACTCCTTAGCCTAAGCCGCTTATTCATACATCTCTCTTAAAATATCATACTATTAAAATATTCAGTCCTGTGACCAGTACTCTCAGGACTACCTCCCACATCGTAGCTGGAAGATTTTCTTCTTTATGTGTTTGTATCCATTTACAGGGTATCCTGGAGAAATTAATAGGAAACCAGGCTCTGTGCTTCAGATTTTCAGGCCGATATGACTGCTGAATTGTCAGGATGTCTATGTACCACTCAGGTAATATTAAGCTTTCTGCAAGCAACCCTAAATGTGGAAAGAACTGTGAGAGAGAGAGTATAAAAGAATGTAGCTAGCATGAATGAAAGACTCTACCTATTTCTTTAAGGTCTTATAATACTGTGCTCTTGCCAGGAATTATGTCCGTTCAAAAGGTCTTAGTTGATTAATTGTGAGTCTCAATCTATTACATCTGCCTAAGTTCACATATGAATTAATCAGTAGTTAAGGTAGAAAAAGGCATTCTCTTTTTTGTAAATAACATTTGCATGCACCACAGCAGGAACTATCTTATAACTTCTTCTGCCCAAACACTTGCCATTTGCAGAGGGTTTTTGCATTAATAGTTATCAACCGATTAAAAAAAAATATTCGGTGCCCAATTCAATTATTTTACACCATCCCCCCTGACATCACCGGAAGTGTGTCAGAAGGCCCGGCTACTTACCCTCCTGCTTCATCCTCATTCCCAAACGGAATGAGGATCGAAGCAGAGGGCGGGGTAAAGAAGGGGGCGGGGCTTCACCACATGACCGCCCCACCCCCTAGAGGTTCTCTTCCGGAGCTCCGTACCTGAGAGCCCTGCTTATAACTACTTCTACCCAAACACTTGCCATTTGCAGAGGGTTTTTGCAGTAATAGTTATCAACCGATTTTTTTTTTTTAAAAATATATATTTGGTGCCCAATTCAATTATTTTACACCATTGAAAAGTCTTTAACATAGTAACAACCAACTGATCAAATAAATCACTACCGTATCTACTCAGTAATAGCAGACATGGAAAATAAATGTGTCACATCAAAGGATAAACTATATGACACTCTGATTCAAACTGCTGAGATTAAAAGGTAAAGCATACCGAGGAAGCCTTATGGTCCTGATACGATCAAGAGACTCATAAGAACATAAGAGACGCCAATGTCGGATCAGGCCAAAGGCCCATCCAGTCCAACACTCTGTCACACAGTGGCCAAAAATACCAGGTGCCATCAGGAGGTCCAGCAGTGGGGCCAGGACATTAGAAGCCCTCCCACTATTGCCCCCCCACCAAGCACCATGAAGACAGAGCATCACTTGCCCCGGAGTCCCTATCTATACCTTGTGGCTAATAGCCACCGATGGACCTCTGCTCCATATGCTTATCTAATTCCCTCTTGAAGCAGTCCATGCTTGTAGTGAATTCCATGTGTTAATCCTGTGGCAGTGAATTCCATGTGTTAGTCACTCTTTGGGTGAAGAAGGACTTCCTTTTATCCATTCTAACCCGACCGCTCAGAAATTTCATTGAGCAACTCCCTGTATGTAATCATGAAGAAGGGCATAACTAGGATATGGGGTCCTTAAGACATACTGATGTCACCTGCCCTCGTGCCACATTCCTAGCAGGAAGAAGAAATGACAAAGCTAAACCTCACAACATGTTGTGGGGAAAGGGGAAGAGCAATGACATTCATAATTCTACCGTAAGAGAGCTGTGTGATAAAACGGAGGGTTTGTTTGTTATTGTGAATCTCCCTTCTTGGTGGTCCCAAGGTGGTGCATGTCAGAAGTAGCCCCTCCCTGGAGGCAGGCAGGGTCGCTGACGATTCTGATTCCGTAGGTAAGGGGCTTCTCTCCCAAGATCCCAGGCTGGTTCACACACGAGTATTACAACAGGTAAAACGCCAAATCAACAACAAAACAAAAAGAATTCAACCCACAGAACTGGGTGGAAAACTACCTTGAAATGACAAAGCTAAACCTCACAACATGTCGTGGGGAAAGGGGAAGAGCAATGACATTAATAATAATTCTACCGTAAGAGAGCTGCGTGATAAAACGGAGTGTTTGTTTCAGTTATTGTGAATTTCCCTTCTTGGTGGTCCCAAGGTGGTGCATGTCAGAAGTAGCCCCTCCCTGGAGGCAGGCAGGGTCGGTAAGTGAAACAAACCTTCCATTCTCCAGTGGTCCATGGTGGGGCAATCTGAACATGTATACCCCTGGAAGGGTAAAAAAACATTGAAACCTTAGCCTGAAATGGTATTCTGCAGAACCTACTGAAGGCTGCATCAGCAGAGGCTGCCTTGTCGACATGGTCGTGTTTGGTGAAGAAACGAACTGACGTCCAAGTGGCTGCCCAGCAGACCACCTCTAAGGAGGGGGGGGAAACCTGGAGGATGCTGAGGGCCTAGAGGGCCTAGCAGAATCACAAAGGCTGAAGATCGCCTCAGAAAGGGAGGCTTTAATCTCTCTTTGCATTTCCCCTTTAATCCAGGCTAATAAATTAGAATGAGCACAGTCCCCCAAGAGATCCGGGGCAGAAGCTTCTGCCACCTCCGAACTGTGGAATGAGCTGTGGGATGAAACAGTGGAGGGGGAAGAAGGATGGCCTAGGCTAAGGGCCAACTCCTCCTGTGGGGTGCACGAAAGGCCCACATGAGCCACCATTATGAGAAAATGCTAGCCTTTTATATATATAAAACAAGATATATATTGTTGTTGTTCAGTCGCACAGTATCATGCTGTTTAGGTTCGCCATCGCGAATATATATATACATATATATGAGGGGGTCGGGAACACCGCCTCCCTTTTCTATGTATATATGAGGGGGTCGGGAACACCGCCTCCCTTTTCACACACCCCCAAGCAAGTTCACCTGCCTTACTTTTCGGAGGCACCTGAAGATCATCGGGTTGGTCTGAAAGGCTGTGATGACGCAGCCTAGTCACCATGCCGAGGACCTGAGGGCTGCAGAGGGAGGTGATGGAGGCTCCCCCTGCAGCAGTCGCCGATGCTCCGCAGGCCTTTGGAGCAACTGGGGATGTTCCTGGCCTGAAGACTGGAGTCCCCACAGCTAGCCTCTCCTCACAAAGAGGACCAGAGACAATGAGAGGGTCCCACCAGGGTAAACTCCCCCGCCGACCCACTCCGCGGGACTACTGTCCCCCTTAGGACAGACTTCCTCTACTCCCGAGAAGGATCAACACTGGCGGGATTCCCCAGCCAGCCAGACGCAAGATGGCTGTCTCCCTGCAACTCTGATAAAACTACCGCCCCAAGGAAAAAAGAGGGGGGAGAGTGACGGGGAGGGAGACTGACAAAAAGAAAAATAACAAATAGGGGGAAAGGCTGTTGGTAACTGGAATCCCAGAGCTCTAACCAAAGCTCAGCCAGCAACTCTTAACTGCCCTGCCAGCAGGGCCAAGATTGGGAGCTTGGGAGAGAAGCCCCTCCCCTGTGGAATCAAAACCATGAGTGACCCTGCCTGCCTTCAGGGAGGGGCTACTTCCCACAGGTTCAGACTGCTCCACCCGGGGCCACCAGAGAATGTTTCACTC